ACACACACACACACACACACACACGGAAAAGAAGATAATGGTATTAAGGAGAAGTGTATCTGTCACAACAGGGCTCTGGGGCCAGGGAGATGGCTCAGTAGAATAAGCGCTTGCCTGACAAGCACAAGGGCCGGAGTTCAATCCCCAGTTCCGCAAACAAACAAACAAACAAAAAAAAAAACAGCTCTGCCACAGGATAACCGCAGGACCCTTGGCCACGCTGGGCCTCAGTTTCTGTACAATGAAAGCAACACCCACCTCTCAGGGTTAGCAAGCTGATGAAGCTTGCGTGAGACTAGATGGCACTTAGCGCAGGCCCTGGCCCCATGTGCGTGCGTGTGTGTGTGTGTGTGTGTGCGCGCGTGCATGCATGCGTGTGTGTAACTGTCCCTGCATCTGAGGGGTGAACTCAGCACTAACCTCGCTAACTGACTTCTCTAAAACAAAAGACCTGGCTTCTCCCCACATGGAAATCCCCTCTAAAACTAGCAGACCTTGGGACCCAGGCATATCCTTCCACCCCCTTCTGCCCAGAAGGACAAACAGGAACTCTTAGGGGAGGTAGAGTAACCTTGATGGGGAGTCTCTGTCTCCCAGAACCTCAGAATTCAGCACTCCCCCCAACCTCCAAGGCTTCTTGCTCGATGGCTGTCCCATCACTTTGGGTCATCACTAAAGGAAGCTGCCATCTGTATCTGCTCAGCCTCTTTCTCAGAGACACCCCCAGCCCCTGCTGGACAATGTCACCATCCTCCCTACCCTGGATAAGCCCCAAGTCAGAGGACATCTCTCCCAGATGTGTGCGTGAAACCTACCAAACCGTCGACGCTGGCAATGTTTTTTAAAAAAAAAGGTCCTAAGAGTGTGAGTGTGAAATGGATCACACCTCTCTAGGCATCCGCAGAGCCTCCAGTAAGCCCAACTTGTGTTCTGTCGGAGGGAAACTGAGGTCCAGAGAGGGAGGACACTGACTCAGGCTACAGACCCAATTCCACAGTCCAGCATAATCAATGGATCAAAGTCATCACCCACAGCAGGATGCCATGTGCCTCCCGATAACAATGTCCTGAAGGTGACAGCATAGTTTTTCTCATATTCCTGCTGCCTGCCCAGATCAAAGCACAAGGGGGGTGGGGCACCTTAACAAAGGAGGGCCCCAGAACCCTGAAAGTGTCACTATTTCGGGAAACAAAGAAACCCACAAGTGTTATTAGGCAGAAAGAAACCAAAGAGACGTGAGAACAGAGCACAACACACAAACCCAAAGTGAATCCCAGTCAGGCCATGGTGGCACATGACTGTAATCCCAGCACACTAGAAGGCTGAGGCAGGAGGATTCCAAGTTTGAGCTCAGCCTGAAGAATTTAGCAGCCTAGCAAAATGTCATGGTTTACGTG